AGGTTTGATGTGATTCCTGAGTAATTTTTGGTTACGATTTGTGATTTGATACTCTACCGGGGTGAGAGTTCAGTAAGTGTTGTGATTTTATTGGCAGAATTGAATTAGTGGAAGATTTCAATTGGTATGATGTGTATTCGGCTTGTAATTTAGATTTGAAGGTGAGACCCTCACGATTCCATGTGATTTGATATGTTTGAGCTGGGATGCGTACCGCGGTGGAAGTTATATCAGGATGAGATCATTGTGATTTGTTCATATACATTAATTTTCCTTGTAAATTGATTTGTAGGATGGTACTCATAAAGAGTTGTGCTTGTCGAGCTTGTGTGATATTTCTCTTATGTGTTTTTCTTTACATATTTAGTCCTTTTTCGTTATGTGCTTCTTGAGTTTTAGCTTGCGATGTGTGTGTCTGGTGGTGTTAGTTGTGACTTGTTGATTCAGGTGTATAGTTAAGAGGTCTTCATGTTTCTTGCATCGTTGTTAGTGGTGTGGATATTTGAAACATAGTTCTAACGGATATGAGGCTAAATGTCGGTGCTAGTTTGATTACGGGCAGCTATTGTGATCAGAAATGTTATTATGGGCCTATGTGTGGCGTGTCATGTTTAGTGGTCATACCTTGCGGGTGTAGGCATGAGTTGTCGCAGCTAGTTGAGACTGATACCAGGTATGGATTTAGAATCGGGTCTTTTGGAGATGAATGGAAGGTGAGAATTTTGACTCTAAGGCTTATTGGTGTTGGTAGAAAGGATAAATTACAGTTGAGATGGTGTCGTCAGGATTATGTGGATTGGGGTGACATGGGGTCACCCGCGGGTGTATACTGGATATGCGCATTCAGTGATTTGAAGACGTCGAGGCAATTCTTGGCACATTCGAGGACGAATATTTGTTTAAGAGGGGAAGGATGTAATGACCCGGCCGGTCGTTTTGAGAATTTAAGTTCTGTTTGGCGGTATAAGGTCCTGAGCAGCTTCGTATTATGTGTATTTACTTGTGTGCGTGGTTGAATTCAATTACCGAACGATTCGGAGTGATTTGGGACACTTAGTTCCTAAAACGTCAGCTTAAGTTTTAGGATTTTGACCGTAGTCGGAACTGTATGAAGACGACTCCAGAATGGAGTTCTGCCGGTTTCGTTAGCTCTGTTGGGTGATTTTGGAATTAGAAGCGTGTCCGGACTGTGAATTTGAGGTCTAGCTGATTTAGGCTTGAAATGACCAAAGTCGAATATTTGGAGATTTTGACCGGAAGTGGACTTTTTGATATCGGGGTCGGATTCAGATTCCAAAAGTTGGGGTAGGTCTGTAATGTTGAATATGACTTGCCTGCAAAATTTGACGTCATTCCGGGTTGATTTGATAGGTTTTGGCGCGGGTTTTAGAAGTTGAAAGATTTGAAAGTTCATAAGTTCGATTCATGGTGCGATTCATAATTTCGTTGTTGTTTGATATGATTTGAGACCTCGAGCGAGTCCATGTTAGGTTATGGAACTTGGTTGTATGCTTGGACGGGGTCTCGGGGGCCCGAGGTGTGTTTCGGACGAGTTTCAGATGGTTTTCGTGGTTGTGAAGAGGTATGAGTTCTGGAGTAATCGCACCTGCGGACCTTGGGCGCAGGTGTGATGGTCACAGGTGCGAGAAGAGATGGACTTGGCAGCCTCCGCAAATGCGGAGAATTGTGCGCATTGGCGGCTCCGCAGAAGCGGATTCTGGGGCGCAGAAGCGAGAGGAAGCGCATGTGCGGCTTGGACGTGCGCACCTGCGGTTGTGCAGAAGCGGCTAATTATGTCGCAGGTGCGGCCACGCCTAGGCAGAATATTTATAATCAAGGGTTTGGCCATTTTCACCATATTTTGAGTTTTAGACCTCGGCTTTGGGAGCTTCTTTGAGGGGTTTTCAAGCAAATCGATTGGGTAAGTATTCTTCACCTAGAATTTAATATATTCCATGATTTTATCTTTATTTTTATCATTTAATTTGTGTTTTGAGTTGAGAAAAATGGTGGGTTTTGAAGAAAAATTTCAAAATGAAAAAAATCATAATTTGAGGGACGAAATGGTAGCGGAATTTGATGATTTTAGTATGGTTGAACTCGTATCAGAATGCGTGTTCGGATTTTGTAAAATTTATCGGGTTCCGAGGTGCGGGCCCGGGGGTCGACTTTTGGGTCGATTTTTTAGATTTTGATAAATGATTGAGGTTTTATGATCCGGAATAGTTTATTATGAGTTTTATTGTGCTTTGAAGTTATTTTTGGTTAGATTTGAGCCGCACGGAGGTCATTTTACCCGAGAAGTTCATTTTAGAGTATCGTTCTGTCTTCTTTGAGGTAAGTATCTTGCCTAACTTCGTGTGGGGAACTATCCCTTAGGATTTGAGTCTTCTATGCTAATTGTAATCCGTGTACGCGAGGTGACAAGTACGTGCTTAGACTTATTTGTGGAAGGTTGGCATTTTTGGGTTCTTAGGTCCTTGTATTCACTGATTATGCAGTTGTTATGTTATGGATATGTCTCTTAATTATTAGTTGCACCTCTACTTTCTTTAATTAGAATTAATTGCTTTATGATCCGCCCTTGTTGCTTATTTGAGATATTTGTGCCTTAACTGAAATTGTTATCTCTTCTATTGCCATGTTGTCTTCCCCTAACTGCTTATCTCTTTTGTAATTGTTCATCCTTAATTGAGGCTATGATTATCTTTCTGCGGCTTATCCCTAATTGAATTTGTTGTATCTCCTTCTTAATTGCCCAACCTTAAAAGAAGTTAGATATCTTATATTTTAGTTGACTTGTCTTTATTTGGAATTATTTGACTCGTATTAGTTTCCTCGTTGTTGAACCGTACATTGTGGGATCGTTGTTACATATTATTTCCTTCCTTGTTGAGTTGTTCTTATTACGCCTAGTATTCTCTGTCGTGATTATTCCTTGTGAACTAGTTCTACTGTTTCCTTGTGATTTAAAGTTCTTGAGTTGATTTACTTGTCGCACTCTCGTATTTATTGTCATTGTTGTTATTGTTTTTGTTATTGTGATGCATGAGGTTTCTGTCGTGCTGTTGTTATTATGGGGTTGCACGAGCTTTCTGTCGTGCCATTGTTACTATTGATATTGCACATGCGGCGTGACAAGACGGTATATATATGTGGGTTGTGCATGTGGCGAGATAAGGTGGGAATATTACTATGCACGTGTGACGAGACAAGGCGGGCACTTACTTTATTATTGCGCGCGTGGCGAGACAAGGTGGGCTATGTCATTGATTGATTTGTGATGACTTGTGATGGCCTGGGGGCATTTTGTTATTATTGTTTATTGCATATTAACTTTGGGACTACGAGGCGATACCTCGGGAGATCCTCATGTCTTGCATATTTACTTTTGGGACTACGAGGCGGTACCTCGAGAGATCCCCTGTTGAGCATTTACTTTTGCGACTACGAGACGGTATCTCGGGAGTGCCCTTTATTGACATCTCTCTATGGTTGCACTTGTCTTTGGTTATTTTGTATTTCCTTGTTATATTGTGTTGGCTTGGGCTTTTTAGTACGAGACTCTGAAGATTTATATTCCTAGTTTCTACCGATTTTTGATGACTGAGTTGTTTTAAATAAAAGAAGTTACTATTATATTTTAAATTAATAAGTTTTACATCCGAAACAATAGATTATCTGATGTTTTATTTAAATTGAAATGTCTTTTTTCTTTACTCAAGCTATTTCTAAAATAAACTCATTTCTTTGTTGAATTCTTACTTGGTTTAAAATTTTCAACCTTACTTCGTTGAAAAATAAATTAATCGTGCGGATCTTATGTATTGAAATAATTGGCACGAGAGTTGTCAGTGTGGTTATGAAGTGTAATGAGGGCGCATGATGCCTGGTGTTAGGGTTCAGGTATTGGGACCAGTGAGTTGTGAATATAGTATGAGGTTCGGTACATCGTGGAGTTTATTGACTAAAACCTGGTGTGAAAGCGGTTGTTTGTTGAGTTGTTACTTGTCCTTTCTTTATTTGTGATTAACGGATTTAGGTTGTGTTTCCGTTCGTTCTTCGGAGTCACCTTCCTATTTTGTATTCACACTGTTTTACCTATTTCTAAACAGTTGTAGTTAGAAATTTGTAGTAAACTCTGTATAGCTTATGATTTGTACTATCGGTTTTGGAAATTTGTAAATTTTATAGAGATTTCTATTTCAGAAATTGTTAGATATTATTTAATTATTGTTGTTATTCAGTAAATGTTAGGCTTACCTAGTCCATAATACTAGGTGCTATCACGATACCCAAAAGAAGGGAAATTAGGCCGTGACACCGGATGAACTGGTCCCTATTTGTTCCCTCTATTGTTCCCTTATCTGATTTATTGAGAAAAAAAATTATTGTATCAAGTTGCTTATCTGGTTCTCTCGTAAGTTTGTCAAAATCATCAAAACAAACACATAACTTATCATTAATATACAATTACAATGCCAAACCATTACTGAAAAGTGAAAAGTGAACGATACAGGTTTTTGTCATTGAGACAAGTAAAACAATGCCGTAGACTACATGTAAATCGTCTTGCCTTATGTTTTCGCCTTTTCAAATACTGATTCGGACTATGCAACTATTTGAGCACACAATTGTAAATTCTGTTCTAATTGGGTTAAGAGCTATACTTTAGAAAGCCTGCGTGTCTTTGACAGGTATTTGAGCCAACTTTGAAGCAACAACGTTTGCTTTGATTAGATGAAAAATCATTAATTAATTAAGTGAATAATACTATACAATTATTATCACATAAAACTTGTATTTGAGTTGACGTTGAAGCAACAACATTTTCCTGGACTAAGTGGAAGAAAAACAAGTAAAATTATACAACAAAAGATATTGGTAAAACACAATTATTTTGAAATGATGCGTTGTATGTGGTAATTACATTTTGAGTTTAGCTATTGAAACCTTCTGTAAAGATAAAAAAAATACAAAACATTATTAGCATCACATCTAGAAATAGATCTCATTATCCATTGGGAAAATACTATTGCAATCAAGAACGTAGACTCGCACCCGAAGCGACAATCATACTAGACCAAACAGTTTTCAGAGCCACCGTATTTCTCCAGTGAACTCTCCTCTTTCCGTTCTTCCTTCTTGAAAATTGATTCATCTCCTGTTGGTTGTTGTACACAAAATCGGACCTAGGGTTTGCATGGTCATTCTTCCATTCCATTTTACAGTAGTGATCTAAATCGACATTCGAAGTTTTTTATAATTGGATATTCATTCTTTGTCGATTTCGCAACTTGTTCTGAACTTGCGAGTCCAGCAACAAGTCGAATTCCCGTAGCAATGGATCAATCCAGCAATCACGTAATCTCAGCTCTTCTCTTTATCCTTCTCCGGTTTTTTCTCTCCTGTGCCTTTGCTTTGTTGTACTGATGTAAGTTGCTTTGCTACCTTTAATGGCAAAAAATGCAGGTTGTTGGAGTTGATAATACTTTTAGAAAAAAGTTCGACAAAGAAGAGTATTTGCAGCGTGCTCGTGAACGCGAAGAGAAGGTCTTTAAATCTCATAAATTATCTTCCATTTTCATGTTTTAGTTATTTACTTGTTAATTGATAAGGTTGATTTGTAATTTGATGCAGGAGGCGGATGGTCGGAAATCTAAGTGTAAGACATTACTAGTTGTCATTTCAGAATTTCTTCATTTTGATTTAACTTGGATGATTTTGTTTATTTGTCTTTTTAGTTTGGCTAGAGACCTGTATGCTAGTGTACTGATATGTGTGAGATGTAGAGAATCTCAAAATTGCCTAAAATATAAATTATTTTCTTTAGGATTGAAATGTACCAGAATAGTGTAGGATGAACATAGAAGATTTTTATGGTCAATCCTAACTAATTTAGAATGGATGTGTAACTGATCGATTGATGCAGTACCCATAGAGAATGAAAGTAGAAATCTTGGAGCCTAGAGTTTTACATGATTGAAACTGTAATGAATTTTGGTGCAGCAAGAGGACCTCCAGTGCAAAGGAAGCCCTTGAAACCAAGAGATTATCAAGTGGACCTCGAATCTCGTTTGGGAAAGACTCAGGTGTGCCACCACTAGTTCTCCTCTTTTATCCCGTCATCCCTATTCTCTGTAGTTATTACGAAGCTTTCGGCCGCCAGTGCAAATTGAAGGCTCTTTTTTTAATTTTCTGAATTGTGTATGAGAGGAATATAGATGGGAGTTTTCTGAATTATGCCTGCTGCTATTATTTGGTGCATTTGGAATGAAAGAAATCGTAGATGTTTTGATGGGATCTCAACTCCTTGTCATGTTTTTAACGGCAAATGCTTACTGAATGTTTTAGTTGGCTCAATCAGGCCCCTGTATCTAGCTGTGAGAACTTTTTGGATTGTGTCTGCTCCTTAGCTATAGATTAGTTTTTGTATAGGAGCAGACACCATCAAGCAGTATTGTAAATTTTTGTATCTTTTGCTCCGCATCATCTTGATGCTTATTAATGATGATTCCCTTACTTCATTTAAAAAAAGAAGGAATACAGTGATTTACAGAAGTTTATGTTTCTTAATTTGTTTTATTTGTATTGACTGTGGTTAGTGCCTCCTGCTTTTTGAAGTTTCTCCTTTCACATATTTCAACAATTGCTGATTATTTGCCATGCGGTGGAAGGTTCTCTCCTTGTGCCCCCCCCCCCCCCCCCCCCCCCCCCCCCCCATGATCTTGAATGTCAATGCTTGCGAACATGTTTTTGCTTGTAGTTTCTGAATTCGTCTTGTTGAAATAATTCAATGTTAGCCCGTGTCATTCATGTATTTCTACGTTTTGTCGATTTCTTATTTGTGCATTATCGATTTTCTGGCAGGTGGTTACTCCAATTGCACCATTAAGTCAGCAGGTATTTTCAATGGTCTTTTCATTACATGTTTAAACCTAACATGACGTTTGGTATGAGGTATAAGGTGGGATAAGATGTGATAAATTTATACCGCCAACCAAACATGGTATAAATTTTATCCCAGACTTAATCCAGGATATCCCATCTTATCCCACCTTATCCCATCAAATGTGGGAGTATTTTATCCCATCTCTCATGTGGTATAAATTAGTGTTGGGATTATAATCCCGGGATAATTTAGTCCACGTACCAAACGACCCCTAATTGTATGGATGCAATTCGTGTCTTCTTTATTTGTTAGTTCACTTTGTTGTTAGCATGCAGCAAGGACATGGTCCAGATAGTGGAGTAACGAGTATAGCACCGTATAAACGTTCAAGTTCCATGGAATTATGTTCTAAACTGGGGAATCCATTTCTTTTTTGAGTGCTAGTCTGTCTTCTTTGGAGTTCCTGACCTGTGTGGAATGCAGTTTCCCAGATACTTATCAACCCTTTGAAGTAGTACTCTAGAGGGTTCTTCCTCATAGCTAATGAAAGACGATGCTCCATTTTGATGTTGTTTGTTGAAGAATTTATTCAGTCTAGAACTGAATGGCAGGTGGATGCCAAGCCATCAAATGTTGAACGCGATATACTTTCGTTTGTCCATCTCCGTGTGATAAATCTTATGTTTGCATGACCCTTCAGCATAAGTGAAATTTCATGATGAATCTCGTGAACATCAGATCTTTCATGGTTTATTTGTTGACAATCAAATGGGAAGTCAGGACATATTTGGTCCCTAGAGGTTTTTTGCAGTTAGTGTTCTTGCAATTCTGGTACATTCTGTAAATCAGGCAGTTTCTTCATTGTTGCGGAACATAAGGTATTATGGGTGCATTATAATATAGTTTATGGATGAGAAACTTGTTTTACAACTTCTTGTGCACGTCATCGCTTGAAACACCTTACTGTGGCTTGCTTAGTGGTAACTAAGATTTATAATTCTTGGTATGATATGATTTTTTCTTTTACTACATATAAAATGATGTAATTTGTTGCTTTGCAGGCTGGATATTATTGCCCAGTATGTGAATGTGTGGTGAAGGATTCTGCGAACTACTTAGACCATATCAATGGGAAGAAACGTATGTCATATTGACAGAAATTTCCTTCTTGCTTGTTGCTGCACTTTGCCTCTGTGGCCTTTTTTTCCTTACTAAGTGCTGCTTCAATGGTTTTATACTCAATTGATGTGTTATGTTTTTTCAGATCAACGAGCTTTGGGTATGTCTATGCGGGTAGAAAGATCCTCTTTAGAGCAGGTAGGCCGTTGAATGTAATGTATTGGCAAGGAAGTATAGTTTCCATTCAATGACAACTGCACAAGGAATAGACCAGGATAAATTGGAATTTAGTTGAACTTCAGATGACACGAAAAAAAGAGAGAAGGTCAATCTAAAAGAAAAACTAGTATTTTCAGGGGAAAATTGCATATTGGGTGTGCTATAAGTGGGATAGTGAAAGCATTGAAACTATCCTTGTTCAATGTTGTCGACTATAGATGATAAATATACCTATCGAAATTCATGTGCAACTCAAATTTTATTCCTTTAATAATCTTTTATTTCATGATTCTCAGGTCCAACAACGATTTGAAGCATCCAAGAAGCGTAAAGATACAGGAAGCTTTACTGTGCAAGGTAGAGATCTTACTAGAAAAATAGAGGCATTGATAATCAGTCTCCCAGCTTAGCTAACGGTTAATGCATTTATTGTTAAGTACCTTATGTGTAGTGATAGCAAAGATTGATGTCTTTTTCCCTTTTTCTCTGTTGCACATCTCATATGAACTTGCGTAATTTGTTCCACGTCTGCTTTATTTTAGTGGGTAAAAGACCGGGATGCACATATGGGACTGCTATTGACCATCTTTCATTTTATTTGTAGATTTTGAGGAGCAATTATTGAAACAACAGCAGGAAGAGGAAGAAAGGAAACAAAGAAGAAAGAGAAGAAGGTTTGTGAAGCTTACTTTTGGATGTTAGATTTGGTAGACTTCGGTACTGATAAAATGACGCAGATGTTGGTCTTAGACTTGTCTCTCTATCCCTTACCCTCTCTCCCTCTCTCTGCTGTGCTTTCTCTAACAAACTTCCTTTGATGGTTACTTTGGTTGTTTGTATTGATATTCAGAAAGAGAAGGCTGCAGAGGAGGAACCTGAAATAGACCCTGAGGTTGCAGCTATGATGGGATTTGGGGGTTTTGAAACTTCAAAAAAGTGATTGCTTTGGCCATTAATCTCTCGCGAGAATAGCTTGGACTGGAGTAATCTGCCAGAGGCGTGTGCTTTATTTTGAAATGGTCTAAAATGTGAGAAATTCCATTTTAGGTAGTAGCCAGGCAGGGCAGTTGAGGTTTGTCAAATCTTATGTTTGTCAAACTAGCCTCCATAATTTTCACAATGAATGATTGTAACCACTGGTTTGGAGTATAGATGGCATTTCCAATTGTTCATTGCTGATTGAAGTGTCCTAAATCTCTCTGCACCACTGTCATCGACAATGCAGATTATTTTCATATGCTTAAAAAGAAATTTTATTTTGGGTTTAAATCCAGCTAATGAAGAATATCCAAGAAGGTTTGAAAGCTCTTGACGAGAACGTAAAATGTGGTTCAATGAGTGGTTGAAAGGGGCGGAGCTAGAAGCCCGTTAACGGATTCGGCCGAACCCAGTAGCTTTTGCTCGAATAGTGTATTTGTATTAAGAAATTTATTAAATATGTACAATATTGAATTTAGAACTCAGTTGTTAATACTTGAAGTCGTCATTCTATAATTCAAAACCCATGAAGTTGAAATCCTGGCTCCATCTCTAGTTGAAAGGATAAATGTTTTTGACTTTTCCATTTCTGAGGTTCCGGATATTCTTGTATACATCTTTTATAGTAATACTTTCAATTTTCAGATAACAAAGCGGCCTTTTGAAATGAAATGTTCAGAGGTATTCGTATTGTATTGGTTCAAACAGAAGTTGAATATGAGAGTACGAAAAGCACAAGCAGTTCAAAACTTAGCAAGACATAAAAAGAAAGGATCCGGCGTAAAAATGAAAAACATATTATAAGTATTAAGAAACTGAATTGCACGAGTCATGTTTGTTGACTTTTAAACGAATGCCTTTCTCAAACAATAAAGTAGTTCCCGCCAAAAGTTGAATCTTACTGCACTCTCGCAACCACTCTCCAGTAGCTGTCTGGTTGTGCATATGAACAGAGGGAGCCGAGAGGTTGAGCGGAGGATTCTGCGCCTTCTCCACGGTCACAAATCTCGAACCCAACTCACTCAAATCCATGCCCATATCCTTCGCCACCACCTTCACCACTCTAACCAGCTCCTCTCCCACTTCATTTCCATCTGCGGCTCCCTTAACAAAATGCTTTACGCGTCCCTCGTCTTCCAGCATTTTCACAACCCCAACATCTTCCTCTTCAACTCCATGATCAAAGGCTACTCCTTATGTGGCCCGTATCAAAATTCTATCGCCTTATTTTCCACCATGAAACGACGTGGCATCTGGCCTGATGAGTTCACTTTCGCCCCTTTACTTAAAGCTTGTTCTAATCTTGAGGATCTGAAATTGGGTCGGGCTATACAAAAGAATGTGGTTGCACTTGGGTTTGAGAGATTTGGGTCGATAAGGATTGGGATTATTGAACTGTACTGTGGTTGTGGGATGATGATGGATGCTGAGCAGGTGTTTGATGATATGTCTCATAGAGATGTGATTGTTTGGAATTTGATGATTAGGGGTTATTTTAAAAGTGGAAATGTGGATATGGGGTTTGGTCTGTTTAGTCAAATGGGTGAGAGGACAGTGGTTTCTTGGAATTTGATGATTTCGTCGTTAGCTCAAAATGGGAGGGAGAAGGAGGCACTGACACTTTTCGCTGAGATGAGGAATAGTGAGTTTGAGCCTGATGAAGCTACGGTTGTTGCGATGTTACCCGTCTGTGCTCATTTAGGAGAAGTTGATTTGGGAAGGTGGATTCACTCTTATGTTAAGTCTAAGGGTCTCTATCCTGATCTTGTATCCGTTGGCAATGCATTGGTTGATTTCTTTGGAAAATCTGGTGATTTGGAAGCTGCTTTTACAATATTCAAGGACATGCCTCGGAAAAATGTAGTTTCTTGGAACGCCATGGTATCAAATTGTGCTTTTAATGGGAAGGGTGAATTGGGAGTTAAATTGTTTGATGAGATGTTAGATGAAGGTGTGAGACCTAATGATTCAACTTTTGTGGGCGTTTTAGCATGTTGTGCCCATGCAGGTTTGGTCCAAAGAGGTGGAGATTTGTTTGATTCTATGATTGGAAATCATGGTATAGAGCCAACGCTTGAGCATTACGGATGCATGGTTGATCTTCTAGGCCGTGGGGGTTGTCTAAAAGAGGCTCATAAACTGGTGAAAACCATGCCAATGGAACCAAATGCTGCTATATGGGGTGCATTGGTTAGTGCTTGTCGCACTCATGGTGAAATGGAGCTGGCCGAATGTGCACTTAAGGAGCTTATAAGTCTTGAACCTTGGAATTCAGGTAACTATGTATTGTTATCCAATATTTATGCTGATAGAGGAAAATGGGAAGAAGTTGAGAAGGTGAGAGTGTTGATGAGGGGAAATAGCATTAAGAAAGCACCAGGACAGAGCACGGTTGTTTGATTATTTGTTGCACTTCCTCAGGACATAGCTGCACCGTAGACTATCGGGTGTTGGCTTCTTGCATCAAAATAGGATCCCTTCTTGAAGGGATTTTGACCTCTTTGACAGTCGTTGGACTTTGAGTGATTTGAACTGAAAACAGCTTAGCTTTGGATTGTCAAATTAAATGATATGCAAGCTAAAGAGCTAGCTCTGATTTTGAGAAATAATGTCTATAGGCACTGTCTGCTGACAGCTCAGCTCTTGGATCGGATGATGCAAGTCTAACGTAAAAAAGAACTCCCCTTCCACCCCCTTTGCTATTATACTTCGACTAGAGGCCTCCTTCCCTTGTCCTTTTATTCAATTCGCCTCCATTAAAACAAAATAGTCAAATTTGGCGACTAGTATATTAGTGTTCACCCTCTCATGTATGGCCTTAGCTCCGAGATTGGAATTTGGTTGAGCCATTTTCCTGCCTTTTATTACCTTTGGATTTTAACTGTTTTGTCTCTCCTTTTTTTTCTTTCTTGGGAAACTTGAAAGCAAGAGAGTTCGAATTGCTGATAGTATTTTGTAGATCATGCCAGTGATGGAAAAACTAAGAGTAGAAAGGATAAAAGAAAAAAATGGATTTTGCTGATAGTATTTTCATAGATTTTAGTCCCTTTGAATTTTCACAGTTTGGTGATGGGAAAACAGCATGGGAAAAAAATGTGGAGATGCGGCCTCTACTTGAGCCTCCAAGGATAAAGGTACATGAACAGCCATTTGATCTCCATCAAAATCAGCATTGAATCCCTTGCGGGGGTATCGATCCCCGTACCTCTCGCATGCTAAGCGAGCGCTCTACCATCTGAGTTACATCCCCAGCGTTTGTGTAGTATCTTTCCCTATATGATATTAAACTTTAATCTCACATGCCAACACTAACCCGCAAATCATAATGCGCTTATATTTCTCCTAATCTATTGACACACTGTAAGTATGATGCCGAACATTTGATTTTCTACCTACATAAGGACTGGCTCATAGATGTCCTGCGCAGACTTGCAGGACCTACTCTTTAAACAATTATAGTAACTGAATATTCGAAGATTCTTCGCAGATGCAGTTTAAACATCGCAATATGGTCAAAGAAACGTATAAATATCTATGCCTGATTGCTAGCATTATCGCAACGGACGACGAGACACTTTTCGGCAGGGGAAAGGAGTGAACTGGAACGTTTTATATACTCTCAAACTTGTGACAAATAACAAGTTTGAGGTTTTTTAAAAAAAAAGCAGGAAATACGTTTAGTTAGTTATTGCCAGACCCAGTATAGACAAATAACTTTGTTAACTTTTGTACCATATATAGAAGCCTGGATCTGCAAGTGAGCAGGAGATGAATATCTTGATTACTACATCACTATTTTACTATTCAGTCTCCACCGGTAAAAGTGGACGAAGTTTATCAACCTAAGTACATAAATCAACAACCTTTTCCGGCACAGCCCCTAACAGTGCGTCACACTGACATTCTGCCTCCAGAAACTAGAGTGCTTGAAGGAGCTAGAATGGAAAAGAGGGATTAACAGATATGTACCGCAAATAAATTAACGACGCCATATGTCCAAAATTCATGCAACAATGTTCAACAAAAGAGTCCAAAAGCCACTACATCAGGATAAGTTGAATGGTTTAGACTACTCTCACGACCATCATTATATTTCTATAACAATTGAAGACTAGACAATATAGTAGAGAATACTTCTTTTACTGTTTTCACTAGAAACCTAGAACAAGAGAAACTATAGCCCATAGTGATAAACAAACATCTTCAATTTATCCGGTACAAAAGTATAAATTAAAACAGAATTACAAAATGTCACTTCCTAGACCCATTACTTGATATACTGAGACATCCATCTGAAGCCTTCTCCATATCCCATTTTGCGGACTATGCTGCACATGAATACCTCAACTGGACGGACATTGGAATCTGCCAGGTTTACCTTCCCCTTGCCAGTGGTGACGCCCGTTAGCCCCATATGGTAACGCAGTTCATCTTCTGAGGCAGCATATGGGATGTCTATCTTGTTACCCAGTATCAGAAAAGGAACAGTGGCCAACGACTCATCAGAGAGGAGAGCATCCAGCTCTTTCTTGGACTCTGCAAACCTTTCTTTGTCAAAGGAGTCCACCAAGTATACAACAGCATCCACCTTCGGAGAAAAGGAATGTTATAATAAGCACAAACACAAAGAATTATCCAAATTAACACTTGGGGACTTCTTAGAGAAGATACATGCACGAGCAAAATTCCATTTTCTGATTCTAGATTTTGCAGGCAATTGCTTTAAGCCTAGCAAGCATATAACATGATAGTCAAACTAAACAAGATCTAGTTTTGGAAAACAGAACTATAAACAATGGTCATTAGTATTTAGTAAAGCTATTGCATCTGTAATTCTTTGCCATTTTTGGTATGTAATCGGCTTTCTCACTTAAAAACTGTTCATAACAATCACACATTTGCAAATACATAATTTCTCTTTCATCCTAATAATTAACCCAATAAAGGTGATCTAAAGAAAGTTCAATGTTGTAAAATCTCTATGAATATGATGTTATTCTGGGAATTTGTACCAATAACAATGATAATGGAAATAATTCATGAAAAAAAAAATCAACGAATATATAACAGAAACACACTCAAACATGGATAGAAGATCTTAAGCAAGTCTTTTTGAAAGATACTTTAGAAATATAATAAAGTAGCTGAGTAGAAAAGACAAAACGGAAGAGAACGCAAATGGGAAAGAGAGTAACTATTCATGGCTTATTGGACACCGAAACTTCTTTACACATTTGGATGTGTTTTTGCAGGAGAAATGGCTGCAGCCAGTCCAATACTGCTCCTTGGATAGCTAAAAACTTCAAAAACAGGGGATATATGTCTATTTTTCCATATAAAGATTCAACAGTTTTCTCAAAGGAAATCTTTTACCAATGCAGATAAATATAAGTATATGGTGAGGTACTATTGAAACACCCCCAGATAAAGAAAGGTGCTATTAGCCAACTCCCAGTATCAATATATGCCTCCCATGAATCAAATAAACTGTGAGTAGTTTATTTGGGATTATGAAGGCATTAAATCGCTTTCCTAGGGGCAAAACATTAAGAGGTTAAGTTGCCTTACCCATAACACTTGTAATAATATAACAATATCTCCTTGATGCCCTTAATGAAAGTCTCTTACTTCACCAAAAAAATTAAACAAAATCAAATTAACTACTGGAGTTTTTGTGCAACATGCATTCAGATTTAATATTAGAGAAATTCTTAAACCTTATCGAGGAGGTCCGAATAGCTACCAAAACTTCTGTAAAAGCATTTCAAATATTTTTGATCCCCCAGAATGAGAAATCGGCGATGAAGATGGGATACAGAGAGTAAGAGAGAAATGAAATTAGCAATAACAACTTGTAAGGCACTTGACAGAATTCACTCATCCTTCGTTTAAGACAAAACGAGTCAACATTAGTAGGACAAGTCACAATTTTAAGGCCATGTTAAGCCATGAAATCTTATTGAGCATGAAAATGTCATTACTACATAAATCTAAACACACAAGCACTAATGGCACCCTCAAACAACAAGCATAGCTGACAAGTTTAGCGCCATATCAGCATCGCAGACTAAAAGAACCCGCCAGGTATCAACCAATAAAGACCACTATCAGCACCCTAAGAAACAAAGTAATACACCATTTGCAAATCAAAATTCTAAACTAAGACAAGAAGACAAACAAAAAGCAAAATACCTTAGCATAATAATCTTTCCAAACACGGCGAGCAATCTGATGACCACCTAAGTCAAATGCCTTGAACTTGATCTTGCCAATACTAAGCTCCTCCGACGTTGGGTATTGTGTTGGCTGATGTTGAACCAATCTCTGCAACAATTCCATATCCCTCAAATTTTCAGATTCAAAATAACAAACAACCAATAGCCGAAAACAAATCTTCTCAAACTAATAAAAGTACTAAAATTTCTTTCCTTGTAAAAATAACAGCTTGTTTGGATCGTTGTTACCCATTGTATTGTATTGTATTGTATTGTATTGTTATCCCAAAACAATGTTTGTTTTGATTGTTTAGTTAAAATTGGTTGTATTGTATTGTTAAATCCATTGTTCCGGAACAATGAAAAGTCTCATTTTCTAAAACAACCAATTTGGTGTGGTGGGATTGTTTCCTATTTTTCTTTCCAATTATGCCCTAACTTATTACTCCATAATTCTATTTTACCCTTTAGCTTTTTTCATTTTAACTCCAAATCTCTAACCTATAACTCACTTCTCTTCGTCTCTTTTTTTTTTTTTGCCAACTCCAACATCAAAGGTAAAAAAGAATAGATTTTGCCTTCTTTTTTTCTTTTCTTTTTTCCCTTAATTTGATTTCAACTCCAATTCTAATTATTTTAATCTCCAATTAGCTGCATACTATTGGTTGTTTTCAAGTGTGGCTATTTTCAAGTGTACAAAGTGTTATCTTCCCAACTCCATGTTTCTTTATCATTTTTTGTTTTAAATGATAGTTAACCTTATTTTTCAGGTTTTTGCTCTTGTTTTCACCTGGCAATTGAGTTAGAGTAATATTATTTATGGTATAATCGCTAAGGATTTTATGGAATATGAATATTTCATTATGGATTATACGTCACGTTGTTAGAAAACTATTATGTTATGCACTTTGAGTTATGGATTATATGTCGTGCTGGGAAATATTACTTATGATCTAAATTCTGAATAGAGTGTACTTAACATTTTATTTATTATTTATTATTATTATGATCTACTTATGAATGGAGTGTACTTGTAACTGTTTTTAATATTATTAACTTGTTCCACTAATTTTGTTAGAATTTGCATGAATTTAATTGTTTAATCTATTTATAAGACATAATTGGTGATAAATTAGTAGAAATAGTTTTTCTTAAATTATTTTTATGCGTAATTCTTGATAAACTTAATATTTAAAACAATTGAGGGTATTTTAGTAAACTTATCGATTACAGTACAATACGATACAGTCAAACCAAATAACAAAATATTATTTAACAGCAAACAATACAATCTATCCAAATATCGTATTCATAAAACGATACAATACAGTACAATACAATACAATACATTATAAAACGATGGTAACAATGATCCAAACAGAGTATAAGGCCCGGGAAAAAAAAAACCACATCAGGGAATTGAATTTCTGGTGAAAAATGGATAATTCAGAAAATGAAGCTCAATTCAGAAAGAAAATCAGCTAATTAAGCATATGTAATAAGGGAAATTTAAAAAAAAAAAGCATAGAATTAGAGGAGAGACCTCATCTTTCAACATATGGAGCAAGGTGGTTTTGCCGGCATTATCGAGGCCCAAAAACAAGATCTTAGCCTCCTTCTGCCATAATCCCAACGTAGCTAGAATTCCGTAGAACCAATCTACCAAGAACATCCTTCTGATCCGATTCGATTCCTCCGACCC